GAGTCGGCTGTGCCACGCTTGTAGAAGCGCCAAAAGAGCGACACGGAAGGTGGACCACAGCTCTTCCGCTTTCGGAAGCCAGGTGACGTCCACCTGAGGCACCTCAGCCTGTTAAAATACAATGTGGAATGTTGTTATTTGATACTTCACAAATTCACAAATATTTGTAACAGGAGATTCATGTCTAATCTGAGACATGCACAGTGCTCGAAGAGGACGACATCTGTCGAGCTCGACCACTTCTGCCTGCTCGCCTGTCATGGAGGTTTCACTGGTTTTGTCTACGCCCATATCAGCAGAAGCTCAGGCCTCTGGCCGGTCCAGGCTACGCGCGTAGGCATGCTCGGCCAACTGAAGACAAAGCAAAAGCTTGCCGTGCGGCTGCTTGGCAGGTAACGGCTGAGGCGACCTTCTTCGTAAATCTTACGCTGTGCCGTGCAGCCAGTATCTACATGTCCGCTTGCGCAAGCAAAACACTCTCGTGACTAGTAAACTTATGGAATGCCCGAAAATTTGACCTTGTCAGAAACTCTGGAGCTTGTTGGTGTCTTCGAGATTTCATAAATTCTCACATGCTATTACTTGCTAGTGCTAAGATTTTTAGCTTTAGGATTTCAAGCATTCGAACAGACTTGCTAAATACACCGCAAACATCTCGCCAGAGCGAGAACTACAAAAAAAATGTTGTTGGCACGCTGACGGCGCTCCTTCCCTGGGATTGGCGGGGCCCTTTGCTGCGCCTTTCGAGCTTCATCCAGGAAAAGTGACCTCCTAAGTCCTAAACTTGAAAGTCTGCAGCCTGCGACTCTTCCTCATTACTTTCTGTGTACCTGTATTCGTCTGACAAAATAAACATCAAAGGTTGGTTGGCTCTTTTCATCCCGCTCCACTGCGTATGCTTTCTCATCACTGCGCATGAGACTGCGCTCTCCGAGATTCATGATGATTATTACAGATTACTTGCCTGTTCTCTTCACGGTCTATTAAATGCTCGATCGGTCTGAAATCCCTGCAGGGGCAATAAATGTCAGGCCTTAATCCTATATACCACTTATGACAAAGAACTGGCGCACTCATGCAGATTAGTATTAAAGCTGGTCCTTAAGCCCAACCGGAGCGATGTAACTCCCAAACCGCGTGAAATACACGGACATGGGTGGCTGTCAATATTCCTTATGCCAGGAACGGCGGATGCTGAAAAACTCATGGTGCCGCCTGATGCCGAGAAGGAAAACGAAAGTCTGGAACGATGGCTTTGGCAAGTACAGAAGTATAACGCTAATTCTTGTAACCTCTGCAAGAAGCCTCGCAAAACATACTAGCGCCTTTATTTTAAGACTCAAGCATTGTCTTCGGAACAACTGGAGCTACTTGAGCTCGAGCTAGTCGTGTTTGAGCTATCACTTAGCGATGTAGCACAAGCGCGCAATTAAGAGTAACTTAACTGCAAAGATACTCCAAGTTAGTAAATACGTGCAACGACTTAAAGTTAAGTTTACTTATTTTCTTTAAGTTCAAAAACGGCTTATAAGTCATAATAAAGTCTGATAGCGTGCTTAAAAAAAAAAGGTCCACCTCAGCATATGCCTGCGTGCCTGCATGCTTGCATGCCCCTGCGCGCCATCCATCAGCAGCGGATTCATTGAACTCCTCACCTGCCACCTGCACAGTCGCTGCACGCCGCACCCTGCATGCCTACATGCCATGCCTGGAAGCCTATATGCCTGCATGCCCCTACGCCAGCTCCACTCCCTACTGCTCCACACCAGCACCTGTTCCTGCATGACTGCATGCCGCTGCCCGCTACTACTTAAAGTTATCTGAGAAAAAATATCGCGTGAGTCTTGACAGCGTAAAAGGTATAAAAAAATTCTTTTTCATATTGACGGCAGCCGGTGCGGAGATTTAGGGTTTGAGGCGCTTGAGGTCTCAAGCAATCCACCGGACTGCCTGAAAAAAAATTGGCGAGAGTTTCCCCTGGGCGGAGACCCAGAATTTAAAAGGGAAAAAAAATCGCATCCTCAGGGCGGCCGGCTCGCCAAAGGGCGGCCGGCTCGCCTGAACCCGGCACGCCTAAGGGCGGCCGGGTTGTCGCGGCACGCCTAAGGGCGGCCGCGACTAAGTTCCAAATCTCAAAACCCGGCTCGCCTGAGGGTTGTCGCGGCACGCCTAAGGGCGGCCGCGACCAACTTGCATGTTGCTAAACGCGGCCGCAGGAGAGCGGCCAGCTTCTCTTAATCTAACCATAATACTATAGGTTTTATGTAAATGTGTGTTGCTTTAACATGAAAAATATATCTTGTTTGTGGATTAAACAAAAATGCATTCCCGTCAAGTTTAAAACTTAAAAATACTTAAACTATTTAACATCCAAATAGGTTAGATAGTTTAGATAGTTCAGGGCCTTCCTGAACTATCTAAACTATCTAAACTATCTAACCTCCAGCTGGGCAGCCCTCCCCGGGAAGGTTTGAAACTTTCTAAACTATTTAAACTGTCTAAACTATCTAACCTCTGTTTCTCCCAAAATCGAGGTTAGATAGTTTAGATAGTTTAGGGGCTCGTCTAAACTATCTAAACTATCTAAACTATCTAAACTATCTCCTTTTCTCCCAAAATCGAGGTTAGATAGTTTAGATAGTTTAGATAGTTTAGATAGTTTAGTTTCAAACCTCCTGGGGGCCTCCCCGGAAAGAGGTTAGATAGTTTAGATAGTTTAGATAGTTCAGGGGCTTCCTGAACTATCTAAACTATCTAAACTATCTAAACTATCTAACCTCGATTTTGGGAGAAAAGGAGGTTAGATAGTTTAGATCGTTTAGATAGTTCAGGGGCTTCCTGAACTATCTAAACTATCTAAACTATCTAACCTCTTTCCGGGGAGGCCCCCAGGAGGTTTGAAACTTTCTAAACTATCTAAACTATCTAAACTATCTAAACTATCTAACCTCGATTTTGGGAGAAAAGGAGGTTAGATAGTTTAGATAGTTTAGATAGTTCAGGGGCTTCCTGAACTATCTAAACTATCTAAACTATCTAAACTATTTAAACTATTTAACCTCCTTCTCCAAGAAAGGAAAGTAATCACATAGTACCTAAAGGTCCCTCTTACATATATATATATATATTTTTATTCATTTATTTATTTATATGTATATATATATATGTATATATATATATATACATGTGTCTATATATACATACACATATATATATATAAATATATACACATACATACATCTATACATCTGTACATAGATACATAGATAATAGATATATAGATGCAGAGATACATAGAGGCAGAAATACATAGAGGCAGAGATACACAAAGGCATATCTAAATAGATACTTGTATACACATGTGCATATGTGGTACTAACAAGAAGTTCACTGGCCTCACGGTCTTCCACAAGATCTCCCTCTTTCCTCAAAGAGATCACGTGCAGTCACTGCACAGGTGCCATGCAACGAATTTGTCCAAGGCGCATTGTCTTTGCCTTCCGCCAGCACCATTCGCCAGAGGTGTGCACTCTGACCATGTGGTCACCCGTGAGGGTCAGGTACCGCATCTTCTCAAAATGGAGGAAGTAGTACTTGAACATTCCCTGGCGCTGGCACTTAAACTCAACAAGTTTCGGAACAAGCATCACAGGCAACCAACGGCCTGTGAGTCTGCATGGAGATTCCCAATGACCCTGGACCATGTCCCTCCCGAGCATTCAAGCTCATGACCGACCTGAGTCGCTTTAGCTGAAAGAGTGATCAATGCATCAGGAGCGGTCAGGCGCTGCTTGCCGCATGGTGGGGCGTGCATAGCTGACACTGGCTAGCAATAGCTAGCCATGATTTAGCCAAAAAAGGGCCAAGAAGCCTTGACATCTGAGATGGCAAGCACCCCCAGGTGCCGTTCTCTCACCTTCGCAAAGGGTGGGAAGCAGCCGGCCTGGGCAGATCGAGTGTCCGGCCAGAAAGAAGGCACACGACACGCACAGGACAAGAATCTCAAAGGTGACCTCATGACCTCGCCTCGGAGAAGTGCGACGACACCGCTAGCTTGCAAGGTTCTTCGAATTCAGCACGTCTGTCACCGAACTTCTTCTCGCATTCCTGGGCTCTGGGACTCTGGGTGCATGACATAGCGGCATAAAGTCAAAGGCTGTGACTTTTTTCCGCCTGCGAAGTAAAGCAGAAGCTGCTAATTTCTGCGAGGCCACCCGATTGCACACAGCAAGATCCTGGTCGCAACTCACCTGCTCACCACAACGCACAGCAGACAGGATGCGAAGCAGGAAAATGCTTAGGGGTTTAGGGTTTAGGGTTTAGGGTTTAGGGTTTAGGGGGGTTTAGGGTTTAGGGGGGTTTAGGGTTTAGGGTTTAGGGTTTAGGGTTTAGGGTTTAGGGTTTAGGGTTTAGGGTTTAGGGCCAAACCAGCCTCTTGCTCCTTGAGCTCTGGTGCCTTGGGGAAGAACTTAATCGTCGTGTTGAAGAACGAGCTGCGTGTGTCTCCTGCACCCAAAAACCCAGAAGCATCAACACAGGGTCGAGGAAGAGGAAGGAAGCCCCCCCTCGTCGTCAAGGGGGGATGAGGACAGCACAAGCAAAGCAAGAGAACCGCACCTCCCAGGAAAGTCGTGGCCTCTGCTCGGCCACGAAGGCCCGCCGGCGTAAGGCGCCCGAAGTGCTCAAAGCCGTCCGGGCCATCAAAGGTGAGCGGAGCTCGCGGCATGATACTGGCGACCCCAAAACTCGAGTCCCGCCTCGTAGTTTCTTAGACTCGGCTTCTTCTGGCGTTTACCGACAACTCTGGCAACTTGTCTTGTGTAGACTGAGCGTACTGGGTTCTAGCGAAGATCGAAAGGTCAACTGTCGACTTCAGCCTGGACTGTCTTGAAAGGGCAGTGGAATGAATTGGCATGGCTGCATCAGGTGACCGGTGGCCCAGTGCAGCGCGCGAGAAAGCAAGAAGAACACCGGTTAAGTGATTCCGCTGGGTCGCACGCTCGATTTTGATGTCCAGGTGATGCCTCAGGGATGAGACATCCAAGGGCGGGTGAGGGCAAGCCTCTGCTCTGCAACCCAAGTCACTTCGTCACACCCGGCGGGGGCTGGATGTAGATGTGAGTTTCGTCGATATTCCTGATGCAAGCACGCAGAAACATGAGACCTGTCCCCGCACCTCACTGACAGGCTTTTGGTTGTGGGTATGTGGACTGCGGCCTGCTATACATGCCTTGGTCTACTTGAGTTCACTTTCCGGCTTCTTCCCCCCCTTCACCAAGGCAGCCATAGCTGCAACGGCATCCACGCCCTACTACAAGCATCTGGTTCAGGCACAGCAGACATGATTTTCTGGGTCGATGGCTGCTCCCACTCGTAGACAGTACGCCCATCGTACACGAACCTGTCGCAATCTCGGGATCAAAAAACAAGCCCCCTGAAGGTGCAGAAATGAGCAACGCACTTGTCGCGCCAAAACACTGAGACAAACGTCTTCGACTGAGGCTGCGTCTGCTGACGGCCTCGAGCTTTCTCAGTGAGCTTTCGCAGCTCCGGATTGTCCTGGCAACATCTTTGCACGACGTTGCGCGACGCCCGGACAATCTAAATCCTGAAAGACCCTGACAGGTTGTGTGGCTGAATGACACGTGGCGGCTCCTCCTGCATGTCCGCGAACACCGTGCAGTTCCAAGACCAACTAGTTTGCTCACCCAGCTTAGCTCTTGTTTTGCATGAGAATAAGCTCAGTTGATGTGGATGTGAAATCCGATTGCCATCGACGACTACTTCACACACAAGCTGTTCTGAGTCGATGAAGGTTGCATACATCTGCCTCTCTCAGCGACAAGGGGAACATTGAGAGCCGCGACGCACACCAGCAATTCAACAACACCTACACCCGAGCTCGGCGTGGGCCAACTTTTAGGGTTTAGGGTTTAGGGTTTAGGGTTCATTCTTTTCGGCAGGCCACGCGATGCCGCTTTGTGCGTGTGGCTTATGGCCGCAGTCATGTCTCCAGCGCCAGGCCTCGAATACGTCTCGATGCACAACGCAGAATACAGTAGTACATGCCGTTTGCCATCGCAGCGGGAAGGGATCATGTCCCTCGTTCCTTTCAAAGCGGTCAACAACAAAGGATACACGACGAGTATGGCCACCAGCTATCAACATGCCACCGGCGATGGTGCGAAGTCGAGGCGTGGCTCTTGCTGAGGCTCACGGCAGCATTGGAATCATTGGAAGCGACATGCAGCTCGGACTCGCACGCCCGACTCTCCGATAGAGCAGGTAGAAGGGACTCCTGAAAAGTATGTTTAGATCTCATATCCCAAGAGAAGCCGCGGGCTCAAAAAAGTCTTGCGCTGAGCATCTGGCCACAACCCATCGCTTGGTACAGACGGGCTCCAGAGACATGAGCGCAGCCTGAACCATGGACACTGGCTCGACCTTCCCTCAAACAGAGTTCCTGAGAAGTTTACAAGAGGCAAGCTTTTACAATATTGCCAAGAACAAAAGGGTGTGAGATGTCGGATCCACGTCACATTGTCTGAGACATTGCACGCGGGAGAGGAGAGAAAAAGTAAACACCCTGAAGCGCGATAAACAAGATAGTTCCTGCCGCTCGAGGGTGAATGCGACGGCATTTGCCGAACTGGAATGCTACTATGCACACGTTGTGTGCTAACCAGCCAAGCCCCACGTGAAGAACGAGCGCCCTGAACCTAGACTCATAGACCCTGAGTAAACCCTTGCGCGGTGCCCATGCCGACTAGAGATATTGCTGGATGCGTTTCTGGTACAAGCTGTTTTTGAGGCAAGCTGCCTGCCAGTCACAATGATAAAGTGACGCCGCCAGGTCTGCTGCGTTGAGGTTCAGCTCCCGAGAACCTTTTCACAGGCCAGAGGCAACGGCTTCTACTCCGTTTCCAGAAGCTCGTGCGTGTCTCTGGCAACCGCAAAGATTTCCACTACAGCTTCTCCCTGCAACAGCATAGAGCAACGGAACGCGCAGAAGTCGCACGTTTGACATGCCACATGCACACCTTCATGTGCGATGCACCTGGCCTCTGCAGAGAATTCGAGCAAGCAGCCTCCAAGCCACCAATGCCTGCCTGCCAGCTCCAGATCTGAGCGCAGGTGCCTCAAAGCGAGAGCAGCTGCCTCGCCATCAAACATCCGTCGAGAAGGACCTGGCGGCGCTTGGACACCAAACAATGAAGTGACCTCAAGGTTCTCCCGCATCATCAAGCATATACCAGCATACATATACATGGGATGCTAGGAGGACAGCGCCTGGCCCGCAGCTGTCGTTGAGTGCATTGACTGCTCTCTGTTTGCCGTCGATACGGCTTTGGGGCCACAAGGAGCTTCCAGCAACCAAGTGCTTGGGCACTTCTCTCGGAGACGCTGCTCCCGCAGGCTGTCTTGCATACTTCAGTGAATTGTTTGTTTTTTAATTGTTTTTTCTTATAAAATTGTTTTTATAAAAAAAAACTTTATGAAAACAATGTCTGAGTCGCATGTCTTCCACACGTCTCGCAAACGTCTGCTTACCAGCTTGGCCTCCATGGTCTCGACGCGCACCGCTCCACCATCTTCTTCTGCCTCCCGAGTCGTGTCACTGCACTCACAGGCACCGGCCAAACGTTCTTTTTCTGTTGGTATTTCATGACATGCAACTAGATTGGAACAGGCGTCTTCACCACATGCTCTGCGGCTACCTCATCCAAAAGTGCCAAGGCAAGACCTCGGCAGGCATTCTGAAGTGATGGCTGCCCATCGGCCCATCGACATTTGTGACATTCAAGACGACTGGAGGACCTTGCGACCAGATCTTGAGTCTAACGATGGCTAGTTTGTCTGAGGCTTCAGCTCCAACGGCCATCCTTGCTAGCGGTCGATATTGCCAAATGGTACCTGGCGGCTACAAGGAGAGGAGCAAGTTCAGCTCTTCAGATTTATTGATGTTACGCTTCTTTGAAAAAGCTTTTCTGGTTTTGACCCCGTGGCGGATTGTACTGCACGCCATGCCCGAAACTGTAAATACCGATGTACACTGCTCCAAACATGCCGCCGACACTGCGTGTGGGATGGTGCAGAGCTCGCTTTCCGCACATCCTCTCTCCAGTTTCACAAGCGGCTACTTCTTCACCATCTTCGCAGGTATTCAGCTTCAGCAGGGTGTATGAATAACCATTTCTTGCTGCATCGCTTCTGTCAAGTCTGCCCGCAACTCATTCACTGGTAAGCTGGCGGAGAGTGGCACCAAATAACAAGGCCCTGACTGTTGCTGTAGGCTTTTCGGGTGTGCGAAGATCAGGCTGCTGCTTATTCATTCTGCTTGGGGCTGATGGTCAAGACATATTCGCAACATGCCAAACGCTGCACGCCGGCCGCCTGCAGAAGCTGGAGGCATTCGCACCAACGCCCGCAACTGGCAGCGATGTTGCAAGCAACGGCTCCATGTCTGTGAGCCGGATGCCCTCCAAAGAACACTCCTGCAACCCTCTTCAGTTCATGTGGAGCCAGGTCTGAGAAGCCCGCGCTTCGCATGCCCGAAGCACTGAATTGTAGCTGAAAGCCTCATGCAGGTTCTCAGGGCCAGTATGAAGGAGAATCCCCTTGCACTTCTTACGGCTACTCAGCACAAAGCTGGTTAACTCAATGAAATATCTCCACTTCTCACCACACTTCTCTACTCTCTCCCTCTACCGCCATCTTCTCTCCCACTCTTCAGCCTGTGCTTCACATCTGAGCGCGTGCAGTGATGTGAGAAGGTAAATCGCAAGGGCCCATTGCCTCAGCACCAGCTTACATGTCAAGCAGCTGTCCAAGTTGCATGAATGAACGAGGAGAACTGCACTCAACATGAAGACCGAAGTATCCGCTCTCTCTCTGCTCTGAGCCCTTCCCAAGTTGCAGCAATGGTGATGTAGTAGTAGTAGTAGTAGTAGTAGTAGTAGTAGTAGTAGTAGGAGCAGCAGCAGCAGCAGCAGCAGCAGCAGTAGTAGTAGTAGTAGTAGTAGTAACGGAGCTTGACCGACCTGAGAATGGCGATTTCTCCCACGAGGCCGTGGCTCGCCACAGGCGGCCGCTTCTAGGGCCCCGTTCATGGACCAGCCATCCGGGCCTGTCAACTTCGCACAAAGCACCCTACCTTCGGACGTCAAGGCTCCCTCAACTCTTCGACTTTTCATGGGTTTCTTGGCTTCGGGCTTATCGCATAGTCGCGCATCTTCCCGAAGGCCATCCTGGCCAGGGATCCGAAGCACACAAGTGATTTTCAGCGATTCTTAACTCCGGCCATACTGACTTGACGATTTGCAACCAGCACAATGCAGCATGACATCATGTAACCAGCTGATTCAGGAAACTGGCACCCGCGGAATAATGATTCGGAAAACTGGAAAGTGCGTGTTCGGAAAGCCGGGATTCGAGACTGCAAAAACTTTGCCGGGTAGCACAACATTCAGCCTCTGGGGGGTGAAGTTGCATGTCCGCAGCACTGGAGACTTGCTCTGCGTATGACAGCAGCAAAACCAGGCAAGAGTTGCAGGGCTTTCTGCCATCGGCCAGACTGCCCACATGCAGATACCACAGCCTCAGGAGGCCAATTCCCTAAACCCTAAACCCTAAACCCTAAACCCTAAACCCAACAGCAAGAACTATCTGGGACCCAGGCATTCAGGGTCGCCCGCGTCGGAAGAACCTTCACCCCCACAAGTCCGTAGCAGAGTGGCCCCCTGGAATTTTCGGCCCACGAAACGCCGACAACCTTCAAAGATTTCAAAGGAGGCGGAGCATACCCGACAGAACCTCTCACGATGGTCTTCGGCATTTCAACCCCCCGGGCCTGGCTCTCTTCCATGTTTTCCAGAAGCTGAAGAGAATGCTGCCAGCGCCTTATTTGCAAGCGAAACTTGTTATCAAGGCGTAAAGGAGTAGAGCGGGGTGAAGGTCATGAAGGTATTTCCCAAAGCATAGTGCCCCTGAGATATATCCAACAGTGCGAAAAATCCTCATTGTAGGAACCCCCAAAACAGGGGAGTCGGAAACACCCAAATCATGAGTGCCGCTCAAGAGCTTTACTCTTCTGCAGGCGGAGACGGCTGCGGTATAGGCAACATCATCTGGAAGGATCTGCTGCTCCTGGCGAATTGTGGTTTTCTTCTAGACTAGCGGCATCCCTTTGAAACCCCAAATAAGAGAAGCATGTAGAACACTTTAAATGGACAGCTGTGCCCGAAATTTCGGAAACCCCCAATCAGCAACACGAAGTTTGATGTATACACCGAAGGGCTTTGGTGGACTTCTTCGGCCCCCACTTGAAGCCACATGTGGACTCTCTGTTCAGAGTTTAGGTTTAGGGTTTAGGGCTTAGGGTTTAGGGTTTAGGGTTTAAGGTTTAGGGTTTAGGGTTTAGGGTGTAGTGTAGGGTTTAGGGTTTAGGGTTTAGGGTTTAGGGTTTTGGGTTTTGGGTTTTGGGTTTAGGGATGGTTTAGGGTTTTGGGCTTTGGCGTTCGCACGAAAAATACGAAAGAACAATGCACTACAACACAGCACCACACAACTAGCCGCCAGATCTGATGCCAACCTGAGACTTCCCGACACTGTTTGGGTGTTCACACTCTCCGACCGCGCACACCTGCATCGAAGACTAGCGCGAA